AAAAGACCATACCCTTTTATGTAATGATGTTTACTTTGAATTTATATTAGTTCACACAAACACTCCATCCATGCTTTTGTTCCGGCCCTCCGGTCCAGTTTAAGAACCCATTGTGGTCCTCCAGTCAGAAAGTTTGCACACCCCTGGGTTAGCAAGTGGCCCCTTTTTGTACTATTCAAACCTTTTGATGACTTCTTTCCTCTTTCTACTTCATTAAGGAAAATATTTTAAGTGTCTTGAGTAAAATTGATAATGTAACAAGGGCTTTCCTGTTTTTCAATCCCTTTATCTACTTTATAAATTGATTTGCCAAAAAGGCGTGGTGGCCTGAAGGAATCCCATCTTTTGTAGGACTCCTTGCTGGGACTTTGTGAGGTTTGCCTAGCTTACAGCTTCCTAGAAATCAGCAGTTTTCAACCTGTGGGTCGCGACCCCTTTGGGGATCGAAAGATCCTTTCACAGGGGTTGCCTAAGACCATCGGAAAACACATATATAATTACATATTGTTTTGTGATTAATCACTATGCTTTAATTATGTCCAATTTGTAACAATGAAATTGGGGGTCACCACAACATGAGGAACTGTATTAAAGGGTCGCGGCATTAGGGAGGTTGAGAACCACTGCATACCCTTCTTTACACTATGGGGTTTTATTTGTGTGTGGTGGTTCAGGGGGTGGGGGATCTATTATCATTTTATTCCATTGAGAAGCCTTAAAATCTCTGTTTAAAAGTCAGTGTCGGCAATACTCAAACTTGTCAAGATCATCAAAAACAAGGAAAGTCTAAGAAACACTCATAGTCAAGAGAACCCTAAGAAGATGTATTATTAAATGTAATGTGTTATCCTGGATGGAGTCCTACAACAGAAAAAAAAATAAAGGATATTAAAGAAAAACTAAGGAATCAAAGTATAGGCTTTAGTTAATAATATCAATAATTATTGACATTAACTTTTCCTTAACTGTAATGCAAGTAATGTGCCATATTAATGTAAGATATTAATAACAGGGGAAACTGTGTTGGGGTTATGTAGGAACTCTTTGACCTGCTACTCTTCTAAAATCAAAAGTGTGTTTTAAAAAGTCAGTGCGAGTAATAACGCAACTGAACCCTCTTTAAATGTAGAAGTACTTGTGTCGTTTGATAACTTGGTCAGTTGTAGAATGTATTGGGTGATGTAAAAGAACAGAAAAAACTGACACACACTCTTTAGAAATAATGATATCTACTGAGATTCCCTGCCCACAGTGAAAATGATGCCAAGGTTTTCATGCTCTAAATAGAGGGGGAATATCTGGATGAATCGTAGCAATGTGTAGAGCAGACACATAGAGTGGGAGTAACTCTGCACCCTTCTCTTTCTCCCACAGCACACAGGACTAGGCAGGGAAATGAAACACACACATAGTTCCTCTTGCACTTATAAACTACATAAAGGCAAGACCATCGTGAGCCCTGATGGGTTTACTGCTCTCTAAAGATCCGTTGCCAAGGCAAGAAACTGAAATATGTTTTCTAAGCCAGGCCTTCCAATAAAAATGACAGTGGATAATAATACCTTTGAAAGCTTTAAAGTGCTTCACATTTATTATTTCATCTTATCCTCACAACTGTATGAAACAGACAGCATAGATTATTATTGTTATCATAATATATGGAGAAAACAGAGACATGAAAAGGTTATGAAATTGACCTTAAGTCACATCATAAATAAATAACTGAATTCAAGCGAGGATCCAACTCTCCCAACTTCAACCTCCCACCTGAGAATAATGTACTTTCAAGAAAAAAAATTTTCTTATCTTAACATTGTGTTTTATAGTCCAACACACACCATTCCTAGTATAACAGAAGTCTACGGTGAGGCAGTTCCAATGGACCACAATTTCCTGTAAAATGTTAATGTTCAACAAGGTGAGTAGGCCATGCTAGTGTGAGAGAAAGTTGATCATTCTTTCCCTCAATATCAGGGTAATAAAAAAAAATACTGAAAATAGCATTGCTTACAAAATTAATTATTTACAGAATTCAACAGATTCATCTCCAAGCATTACAACTAGAGTGCCATTAATGTTGGATCTGACTGTCGCATGTTATCTTTACCTTAAAAAAGTTATTTTATCCTTCAATACCATGAGAGCATGGCAACTTGGAATATTCACTTGCTAATTTGCCATTAAGAGGCACATTTTGAAAGTCTCTAAAAAAAAAGGGTAAAGTCCAACTCGTTTCCAATGAACCACTATCAAATTAAAGATATCCAGGTATAAACTGGCATTTACTCAAGGCAGTGAAATTTAGTTCTTGTGCAATTCGGCCATAACTAAAAAATGTATCCATGTGGTTTAGTCATTCAGCGCAGGATGGTCTTAGGCGACCCCTGTGGAAGAGTCGTTCGACCGCCAAAGGGGTCGCAACCCACAGGTTGAGAACCGCTGGTAAAGTGAGGTTCCAAGAGAGTCCTTTCCTGGCAAAGTCAAAGACGGAGGTGGGATTTGACTCTGGATAATTTCAGGGGCACTGCACCTGAATATGGACCTAATATGAATAAAGCATAGTCCCTGTGTACTGGGAACATAAGTCTAATCAAGGGAAGCCAGTATAATTAGGTACAGAATCAGAACACCTGAAGGGAATAATATTCTTATATTCCTCTTGTTCTATTTCCTTCCTCTACAAATGAGCCCCAAAACTAAAGTCCTAAGAAAGTAATTCGGAAAAGACAATTCACAGAACGCTTCTCAGGAACTTTTTAACCTGCTTTCACTAAAGAGTACCAACCAATAATGAATCTGGATGCAGGTTTCTTTTCAGTTTCAGAGCACATTTGAGAACAATGGCTACTATGAGGTCAACTTCCAGAATAACATCAAAAACATACAAGTCATTTCTGGTTTAGTTTCAAGGATCTGATGAAAGACTGTGTTTTAAATTGTGAAGTGTATCTCATGACATACTAACATCTGAAATTGCATCATTTATGAATAATTACCTATTAACTAATATACCCATGCAAGCTATAGATTTGAGACTAAAAAGTCAAAAGAACCACAGGGTTGGGGAGAGTGGGGTAGGGCAAGGAACGTAGACCTATGTCGAAAGCAGTGGTTCTCAACCTTCTGGCCCTTTAAATACAGTTCCTCATGTTGTGACCCAACCATAAAATTACTTTTGTTGCTACTTCATAACTGTAATGTTGCTACTGTTAGGAATCATAATGTAAATATCTGATATGCAGGATGGTCTTAGGCGATTCCTGTGAAAGGGTCTTTCGACCCCCAAAGGGGTTGCAACCCACAGGTTGAGAACCGCTGGTAAAGTGAGGTTCCAAGAGGGAGTCCTTTCCTGGCAAAGTCAAAGACGGAGGTGGGATTTGACTCTGGATAATTTCTGATATAAATTACTCTAGGCTTTTAAACCGTATTTGAGAATAAACATGGCGTAAACCCCATAACTTTGACTTACTGCCATAGAATAAAGTTACATGATTTACTTTATGGGGCTGAAACAGCTTAATCTCATAACCAAACAGATTCGAAGCTGAAGAACAGTATCCTCTATACCCTTTGATCCAAAAGGTATGGAGGGGTGTGTGTGTGTGTGTGTGTGTGTGTGTGTGTGTGTGTGTGTCTTTTGGGGGGGAAGGGGTATAGAACTCCAGAATATAAATAACTGCAATTTCTGCACATTTTCAAGCAACCCCTACACAAGCAAAAACACCTATAAAGAAGAGTAATGACTAAATATTGAAAGGATATTTAAACTTGACCCAAACTTATTGAAAAAGTCCATTTGAACTACAAACCCCTGGAAACATGGTTCGCTTCTGTCCTTCATGGCTTGGTCTCTATGAAAAAGAACATTAATTACAGAAAGTATCATTCATTTTTAACACTTCTCCCAGATCCTTTATCTTCCAAAAATAATCCAGCTTTACTCTCATGTTTAAGGAAATAAGAATTCCAGAAATCTTAATCGCCTGGCTCAAAGTACCCAAGCACCCCAATTTCCAGGTGACTTATGTAATATTACTGGGAGTAGCAGGAGAGAAACAAAACAACTGTACAAAAACCCTTGAGGGATTTTTCTATTTGGCTGGTTGAAATGTTCAGAATTATTTAAGAGCTGGAAAAGGAACAATAAACCACACCCTCAAAGTGCTCCAGTCTGAATTCCACCATTAGTTTTGTACCATGTTTTAACAATCCAAAATTTCAGTGGACTCATGAAACTAAATGGGAAGAGAACCCCAAACCTGTGCTGATGTAACCTGAGCTTGCCTGAAATAAAACTTCTAAAACATAATTTTATTAAAGAACATAGACTGAATTTATTAGTGAACACTTACTGCTTATGCACATACAAGTTCACTGGCTTTTTCCCAAGGTAAAAAAAAATGCTCATCTCTCCACTATTTGTGATTTCTACAAGTGCCATTAAGCATGAAATTTCTTATGACACAGAGCTGTCTGGGACTTCATACGGAGGAAGCTGTTAGAAAATGATCTCACCTATAACATAGTCCTTCAACAAAGATGCTAAAGATAGTGCTAATAACACACATAATGATACAAGTTCTACAACATGGTATCAGCAGGGTTATAGTTTCTCACATAATTTTATAGTTGGATCAATTATGGAGGAAAATTAATAAGGTATATTTAGGTTGTGACTTTTACCTCTCGCCAAAATATTGTTTGCTATATGTCTCAGATGCCACACAAGAAGAAAAAAAAGTTTTTGTCACTCTGTTTCACCTTATTAACTACCTATAGAATCATCCTAAAATCCCAGATAATGTGGGCAAAGAGGTCAAGGATTGATTTGAGAGCCTGGAAGAATTTTAACAAGAGCCTTGCAACAGTGACATTGGAGAGCCTTTGTTCTAATGTTTTGGTGATTTATTTATTAGGTCTTTGTCATATGCCAGGCATCATTCTCAGTGTTTCGCATGGCTGATTTCAGTTAAGATTCATGGCAGACCAATAAGGTAAATAATAGTATCACCATTTGACTCATGTGGAAACAAAGTCCAAGAGAAATTAAGTAATTTTCCAAAGATCCAGCAACTCACTGACAGAGCTGAGGTTTCTGCTCAGACAATCTGACTCCCTAATTCACACTCTTATCCCCTTTGCTGTACTACGCCTATCATATTAGATTATGCTCTTTCCATCTCTTTCTTCTTCAAAGGATCATGATTATGGCCACCAGTAAAGTTCCAAGTATAAACTTGACTCTCTGCTTCAGTGAAATATTAATTTCAAACATCTACAACAATTTCTCAGAATCCCCCAATTCATTCTTTCAATAACCCCACAAATATTTACTGACTGCCTCTTATATATGAACAAAACTGACTAATACATCATTCCTACCCCAAAAGAGTTAATAATCCATTACTTTAAAAGGGCTATACAAATAAATGACATAAATTAAATGAATTGCAAAGATTCAGATCATTACCCTCTTGTGCCTAAATCTTTGCCAAGAGCTTCAAATCAACACACTTTGCACTGGTTCACAAATCCCTACATGAACTTGCCTCTCCCCAGCTGTCTCGGGGCATCCCTTACTACTAAGCCCTTGGCTCAGTGTGCTGCAGACACTTGACCTTCCTCTTATTCTTAGAACTCACCAAGATTTCTACTGTCTCAAGACCTTTGTGCCTTTTTCCCCTTCTCCCAGATCTTCCCAGGGCTGGCTCCTGGCTTTCAAGTCACAGCCTAAAATGACCTTCTCCAAGAGGCCTACCCAGAACCACCCAATCTAATCTGGCCTACACTCTCTTTCCCCCTACCCCATAACTATGATAATTTTATCATTATTATCTCATGTATCCATAGCATGTATTGCCATCAGAAATTAAAGTATTTTAAAGTTGTATTTGCTTATTTATGGTCTGCAACCCCACCCTCAACCAGAAGGCAAGGCCCAGAAGACCAGGAGCTTTGTTCTTGCATTTCCTGGACAAGAAAGTTTTCACAAGTTAATAGCAGGAGATATGCACTTTGAAAGAGAGGTGGCAACTTAGCAACGATGAATGCTATGGACACTGCAAGGACAGAGAATAGCAGGAGCAAATACGTAGAGGGTGTCTACAGCATGTTCAGGAAAGATAAAGGTAGAACAGTTTAGTTTGGAAGGTACACACCCAAACATAGGAGAAGTGTATTGAGAGAACATTATGGAAGGTCTCCGGTGTCAGGAGGGATCCACAGAATGCTTCATTGCAAGGAAGTGGCATAGGCAAAGCATGACATAGCACTGGGTAGATTAATAGCAAAGGATACTAATAACCCTTTTCAGTGGTCTCAACCTGTAGATCGCGACCCCTGAAAATACATCCTGCATATCAGATCTTTACATTACAATTCCTAACAGTAACAAAATTACAGTTATGAAGTAACAACGAAAATAATTTTATGGTTGGGGGTCACCACAACATGAGGAACTGTATTAAAGGGTCACGGCATTAGGAAGGTTGAGAACCACTGCAAGTCATTCTGATTTAAAAAAAAAAAAAAAAAAAAAAAAACAACTAAAAATCTCTGCCTTTTTTAAAAATAGAAAACTCTCAAAAGAGAACAGAAGAACTATGAACTTGGTGCTATTAACTACTGGAACAGAAAGTACAATGTTATGAAGTATAAAGTTGAACATAATGATGAAATGTGTTTCTCTAATATCTGTTCAAAAGCCTTTTGCAAAATAAACACAGATTTATTATATCAAACCACCCAAAGTGACTCATCTCTTTGGAAGTGCGTTTCTGGCCTCTTCTTTCCTCGGGCCTCGAATTCTTTCGGAAAGTCACGCAGATTAGTGGCCTGATGACAGGACAGAAGTCAGAACTCAAAACCCTAAATCCACTTCTGCCACCGATGTGCTGCCTGACACGGAGCCTTATGTCACGTTTGCATTTGCAAAATCTTTATGTGGCAAATGTTTTCTAAATTAACTCATCAGGGACTGGCAAGTCATATAAATTTTCTAAATAATCACTCTAATACATCAAAGTACATAGTTAGCCTTTTAATGAAGTCCCTTAAAAAGTAGTATTGCACTACCCTATACTTAATGTTTTTCTCAATGAGGCAGTGAAAGTAGAAATATTCACATTGACATATAGGATAACCCAAAAAATGTATATACACAGTTGGAGTAGTTATAAAGGCTATGTGTATTAAAATACATTTCATTTTCAAAATTGAGCTATCAGCTGTTAAAGTATGTATACATTGGGGGGGAGGGGGGGACCCTGGATGTGGATGTGTGCCCTACAAACAGTGGCTCAGTCCTTAAAATTTCCCAGATAACAAAATTGAAAAAAGTGCTTTTTAAAAGACATGACGATGTAAACACAAGGAAGTTTAAAATAACACTTGTATAAACTGTTTGAATTGAAGAGAAAAAAACACACACCCAAAGACTTTTGTCAGAATAAAAAGAAAACAAATCCCAAATCCTGACAGCAACATAAAAGCCAAATTCCCCCCCTTCCTTTCATAATGGCTTTTCTATTGAGTTTCATTTTGACCTTTCATTACTTTCCCAACGTTGAAGGATATTGCCTTTCAAAACTCCCCATTTCTCTGCCGGTTGTACTATTCTTCCTTCCCCCATTGTTGAGTTCTTAGCCACCGCCATCCAAGTGCTGGCCTCCCCTAACAAATAGAAACCAGCATTTTTACACACTTTCCACTTTAAATTCATACCCTGCATTAAAAAAAGAAAGAAAGAAAGATAACCACTAATCCATAAACATCCTAAGAAAGAGAAAAGGTGGTTATTTTTGGCTAGAAAAGAAGCCATGTGTATTATATTCAATGGATAGCCAAAGCCCCCTCCCCCCTCCCACCCCCTCAGGGACAACAGGATGTTCCACATAGGAGAGAAAAAACAGCCTTCCTTCATCAGTCAGAGCTGCGAGGAGGGTGAACCAACTGCATGATCTGATTGATAAAGTTTCATCACAAATTAGCCCATCTCTTTGATGAAAACAAGCAAGGCAGCGACTACCACAATTTTGTCCTCATAAATTAGTCAACCAGACACACATTACACAGAGCTTGCCACACAAGGGGCAAACTAATGTAATTAATTCATACACAGCACCTCATTAAGAGCAGGTTTAGCACTAAGGTTGTGATCTTGTTGAGTCTGCATTATTTTCCACAAAGATGCCCACTTAGTTGTCTGGGATGAGAGGTCCGGAGAGGGGCAAGATATATGCTTCTGTGTAGCTCTGCAGCTGAGAAAATCTAGCCAAGGGAAGAATAACATGAACAGGCTCTATATTCCCCCAATCCAAGGGGGCATATTCAAGACTTTAAGCATTAGAGCATTAGTGTTCATGTGAATAGGTTACATTTTACTTTTGCTTTTATTATATGTTCCAAACTTTCAAATAGTACTAAAAACAAATACATTTCCTCACTGGCACAGTATAATTCTTAGCTGATATAGTAAACAAGGGGGGAAAAGAGATAGAAAATGGATTGTATGTAAAATGAACTTGTATGCATAGTTTTTTATCAATTCATAGGACAATATCTTAGTTTCTAAATACCATTCTCCATTGGTATGTAGCTGCAGATAAGGGGTCTCTTTGAAGTAGCTGATTCCAGTGATGGGGCAGGGAAAAGACAAGATGAGCCTGTAACATCTTATGGTGCCAGAAAATAAGAAAGTTCTAGAAAAACACACTCACACACAAAAAACAAAAACCCAGGAGCCTCTTAAAAGAATCCAGGAATCAACCTGAACAGTTCCCAAAGGCCAAAAAACAAATGATTTGAGCAACAAAATAATAGTTATTAATAGACTATAAATCATAAAATAAAAGTAAATAACCATGAGTCTGAGATGTGGGATTAATTTATTAGTGGTTCAAATTATTATAGAATATGCAAACCAATAAACTGGGGAGAAGGAACAGCTCTTCCCTACAGAAAAGTTCCAAATAAATGAAGGTAATGCAAAATCACCATTCGAACACTATAGTAATGATTGTTGCAAGCAAGATCTACCCGTGGGTGCTACTATCAGTGGGAAAAGGCTCAAAAAGAAACAAGATATTTGCATAATCTCTTGTATTTACCATCAAGACATTTAGTAATTCAATGGGTAAAATAGTAAATTGGCAATGAAGAAATACAGCAAATATCACCTTAACCAAGTCAAGATTAACATAAACATAGTGTCATAAAAATAGTGTACTTCCTCATATGATGCCCTTAGAAAAACATGTCACTTCTGTGGTATTTGGTCAAAAATGCATATCCTCAATCTGATCATGATAAATCAAACCCAAACCGAAATATATTCGACAAAATAACTGACCAGTAATTATCAAAGTTGTCAAGGTCATGAAAGACAAGGTCATGGTTGAAGACTTATTACCAATTGGAGGAGACTAAGGAGATACAATGCAATGTGGGATTCTGGAGAGGAACTAAGAGCAGAAAAATAACATTAGTAGAAAAACTAATTTAGAAACAATATTATATAAATATTAATTTCCTGGTTTTGATCACTGTACTATAATTATATAAATTGTTAACATTAGCACAAGCTGAATAAAGGATACAAGTAAACTCTATATTGTTTTATAACTTTTCCATAAGTCTAAAATCATTTCAAAGTTAAATATTTTTAAAGAAAAAAGTCACAGACCAAAAGGAAGAGGGGATAGTGTCAGAGATTCTACAAGGAAGCTGATAAAACTCACTTAGAACCACTAGTCTAAATGAATAGTCATCCAAATTAAATAGTTACTTTTTTTTGTTGTTTCTCATATTAGAAATCCAAAGTTTTTTCCAACCAAATTATTGGAGAACATATAGTAAATGTTTTACTTTCTTTAACTCTAAGGCTATTTTTCTGTGGCCTTGCTTCATAGCAGTCTTTTAAAATATAATTAATAGCCAGTTGAGTTAAATTGGCTCCCTTATAATCTAATTTTCTTATGGGACTATTCTAATCATTATTGCACATAATACTTTCAACACGTATGCCTTTAAACTGAAAGTATCAGACTCTAGGCCATGTCAACAGCTCCGATGTGCTTATTCTTACAGGACTATATGGTCACTGATCTAAATATGAGGCCAAGACAAACTTTAGGGTCCTGAAAATAATGTATTCAAAATATTAAACATTTTCAAATATATAAAAATTATAGGTCACTAAAAGGCTTTTCACTTAAAAATATACCTAATTCGCAGATATATATATATATATTTATTTCAGAGAGGAAAGGAGAGGGAGAGAGAGATAGAAACATCAATGATGAGAGAGAATCACTGATTGGCTGTCTCCTGCACGCCCCCCACTGGGGATCAAGCCCGAAACCCAGGCATATGCCCTTGACTGAAATTGAACCTGGGACCTTTCAGTCCACAGGCCAACACTCTATCCACTGAACCAAACAAGCTAAGGCACAGGTATATTTTTAAGAGTAAAAATAGTTATCAATAAAATATGCAAATATAGCTATTTAAGTAGAATTAATGTTATTACACAAAAATACAAGTATGCCACAATCTCTTTCATGGCAAACCTAATATTTAAAGCATATGCACATTATTTTCAAAATACCCATCATGTTTCCAAAATTAATGACAAATGCAAAAAGAGTTGAGAACTACATAAATAAATTGTATACAGAGACATTCAAACAGAACCTACTCTTCTTTCTTTTTGCTCACAATGGCTAATGATATGAATTCTAACTCTAATTTTCTTTCTTTTTTTAAAAAAAAACCTGATCTTCTTTGAGTTCATATCGACCTTGATGAGTGAGTGGATTAAAAAGCCTAGCAAACTGAGCCTAGAGCTAATCCGAAAAGGTGCAATTGCAATATTTCCAACCACCGAGGCTGCTCTCACTTTTTTTTTCATGCTGCATTTAAGATAAGATGAGGTGCAAATGAGGAAAAAAAAGATCAAAACTATTTCAAGTATTACCTCTCAATCCCAGGGTTTGCAAACTGTGCAGAGAAAGGAGGCAATACAGATACGGATAGACTAAAAACCAGAATCTTTGTAGGAGTCTCTGGGATTTAATGGCAGTACTAGGAAAATAGTTTGGAGATCTGACCACGTTGTACACTTATGCCTGAATCTGGAAAAGACAAGGAAGCCCCATTGTGGCCTGTTTGTTGTTGACTTATTTTTTAAGCTTCAGAAACAGTGGCTCAAACTGCTACCTTGGATCAGTACCTGTATAATCTCACTACTGGGCCTGGAAAGGACAGCTTGCAATGTGGAAAACCTTGAGTTCTATCAGCAACAAAGAAAGAAGCCATAGAAACAAAAGAGACAGTGACGTGGACACTTGTCGGAGGAATAGGATCGATATAGAGAACAGATGTTATGGAAATGAAGAAAATAAGAAAAAGGTGGTGGTTTCTTGAGATATTATTAAATTATGTAACAACTGAAAAAAAATTAGAACAGTCAGTATGTGTCATGCTTTTAGCTTGGACCTTCTTTTGAATATGTCAATATTTAGCCACCAGGTAAATAAACCTAACCATAAGAACTGTGTAAACACACCCAGAGAAAAACAGGTGCTCTGGTAACAAAACCTATTCACAGCATCACACTACTGTTACACAGCTAAGTTCCTCTCCATCTGAGGCAACCAACCAGCCAAGTGGATCCAACAGCAATTTTTTCTTTATTTTACAGGCCATTAATACACAACTTCTCAAATACATGCCCATGAGTGAATCAATAGTTATGTCAAACACTGTCCTAATAATGTATGTCATTAAGATTAAGATTTTACTGCTCCCACACCCGGAAGAGGAAGGTTTGGGGGCCTGGGGTGTTGCATATGGTGGTGGTGCAGCAAGTAGAGGGTAATTTCTCCAACAAATACACACTTCTATATTCATTGGCTTTCCTACCTTTCCTATTTCTCAAGCCCTTTCTACAGCTCTGTCCGATACAGCTGAAGCACACATTTACTGCATTTTTGTTCTAAGCATTTCATGCATCTGTACTAATTTAGTCCTTGAAAAACTACTATGAGGTTAAATTACTCGAGATGATGAGATTGAGATATGGGAGTCATCCAAGGTAAATAATGGTCAAGCTGGAATTGAGTTTAGGGGTGTTGGTGCCACATCTGATATTCTTCAATCTCTACTATCTCTTTCGTAGTTTGGGGAATTTCTACATGTTATCTTTTGGAATGAGTGAATGGTACCAACACATGACTCACTTCACTCAACATGCCTGTAAAGCACTAACCGCCCTTCCCACTTCTTTGTCATAAAAAACCCCGTTGCAGTCCCTAGACCTGTGGGCTCCGAGCCTTTGACTCACTGCCACTTCAGGTTGGGCGAGTCCCTGCCTCTTCGGTTCCACTTCCGGAAGACAGAACTCCCCATTGCCCTCTCCTTACATCCCTGAGCTAGTGTGAGATTTTTCTTACCCCATCTGCTGAGTTCCTATGGATAATTAAAGAAATAAGACTTACATAAGAAAATACAGAGCTAGTTATTATTCATTGGAAAGCTCAGAACTAGTTTTTTTAAAAGTCGGACTGTTAATTGAAGTAGTTTAATTACTTCAAGCAGCAAACACATAAAATATATTGTCTAAATGGGTATGTCATATTTCATGTGCAAATGAAAGAAGGTAAAATGTGGGTCTGTTGGGATAGGACTCTTACAGTATATATTTCTGACTCACACCGTAAGTGGAAGTTACGAGAAATCGGAATATGTCTCACTATGTGTATGAGGTTGGCTTACTGATTGAGTTTCAGGTCAGGCACATGTTTCCAAAATTTCACCTGAGTAGAAACCTGTTTTATTCCATTTCTGGGCACAAACATTAAGGGCCCTGTTTTAAGGAATGGACACCTTTGAGAATCTGATAAAGGCTATGATTTCTTCACACACACACATGCACACACACATACACACACAATACATAGACCTAAAATTGTATACAAAATGTCATGGAAGCTGTAAGCCCCTGAAAGTCATCCATGGACTGGTTTAAGAACCCCTATTCAAGGCATAAACAGCACAAAAAAAAAGCTTACACTTCAAAAGGATAGCATTTACAAAGTTCATTTGTATACCATGGCTTTTAAATTTAACATGGACCACACTCTTCATAGATATAATTTTTATTAATAATGATTTCATCAGGACAGTCCCCCAAATCTAGCTTTAATAATACCTTTTAGACGACAACCATTTATAGTTTATTCATATAGAAAACTTATTCTGTCTTCCACTCGGGGCCAAAAGTCCAGCCCACCCAGGGAAACACTGGCATCGCCTTAGTGTGTGTATTTCAGATCTTTCATATGTACGCAGAGGAGTGGCGTCAGGACACATTCTCCTCCCCCACCTGCTGTCCACCCAGAGGGCTGTGCACCTGGCCTTTGGAGGCAGAAGACATAAGCTTAGAGCTCCATCAATACGTGCAGCTGCCTGAGGGTTCCTCCCAGTCTAAGTGAGCTTCCTGCAATTTTAAAAGTGTTTATGGGAATGTTGAGAATAATTTGACACCAGACATTTTTACCTTGTGAATTAACTTTCAGACTTTTCTTCATGGTATAACAACAACAACAACAACAATATGGCAATATTTCTATATGTGATTTAAACATTAATGGGTCCTTTCACATTAAAAACAATAATAAAAAGATACAAGTAACTATACGAAAAAAAAAAAAAGCAAGATGCTAACATGTTTAAGAAATCTGTCCTTGGATCCTACTATGGCCAAATTGTTCAATCTAAGGTTAATTCATTTTAAAAATCTGTGCAAGTCAAAGATGAGAGTTCTGTCACAACAAAGAAACTTTCAATAACTACTTCTAAAGCCCCCAAACTTCAGCCTATAAACACCAGCAGTGAGACAGTGAAAAGTCACAGAGCCTCAATATGATGACTACCACCACATTTGTGAGGACTACATCTCAGAACGAACAACTTTTGCATCCTCCTATTAGAAGTCACCACAATAATAGCCTTAACACTCAGGACTACCTGAAACAAGGCATCAGAAGAACCTCTGCCAATGTTACCATTCGGAAAGGGTCTCTTAAGAAAGAATCACTACAATTAAATACAGTTTTATCCTGTGCCAAAACCAGTTCTTCTCAGGAAGTAAGAAGAAATAAGACATCAAGAAGCATCACACCTGAAATCATAGCCAGGCTTGATTCATCTTCTAATATAATATCAAACTGATAGAAAAGTCAAAAGCCATTGACCAGCGCAGACATTCTAGTACTAAAGCAAAAGCAACTACCAAGAGTAGATGGGCTCAGCCCAGAGAAACCCCAGAAGAGAGTAAAGCTCACCTGAATGAATAGAGAGCCAGCGAAGGTAGAATGCTGAAAAGGCCTCCTAGCTCAGTAGTCACACAGCCTGAACCTGAAGGACAAAATGAAAAACCAGTTGGGTCCTGTCGGACTACCATGGCAGAAGATGAACAAAGATTATTTACTGAAAAGGTAAACAAGACATTTTCTGAATGCCTAACCTGATTAATGAGAGATGCCCAAAAAGAAATATTGGACACACTGAATGACCTGATTAAAGTTTTTCCAGACGCCAAAAAACTTGTTAAATACTGGATATGCCTTGCACATGTTGAACCATTCACAAGCTCTGTTGGAAGTATTATCTCAGTCTATGAGAAGGCCATTCTGGCAGGAGCTCAGCCTGTTGAAGAAATGTGACATGAAATTGTAGAGATTCTAACAGTGATGATTTGAGAAAAAGTGAAATTTGGAGAAAAATTTGAGGAGACTTGTGCAACCAAAGAAACATATCCAAGAAGTCAACACTGAAGATATTGGTCTTAATCTAGAGTCAAGGAAACCTGAAATGGAAAATAAACATCATAGAAATGTGGTATTTCAAGATTTTGAAAAAGAGCAAGTTGATAAAACAAAAGATTCAAACAACCATGTTAAAAATCCCAATACAGAAACTAAGGAGGGTTGCTTAATAAAATGTAATGTATCTACTATACCATAGCTGCAAAGTGTTAAAAAGAAAATGCAGTTTGAGGAAATAAATTCTAAGTTTCTAACACCAATTAGAGGTTCTTGATGACTTCAAGACAAGACTTCTAAATTGGCCGATATGTTAAAAGATCATTTTTTCTTGTGTCTTCATTGGACAGTTAACAGAGTGGGAAGATGAAACCAATGCTTTTATATGCCTCCCTAATGCAGCACTGTACTGATGTACTTGGAGACTGAAACAACAGAAGAGAAAGAAAGCTAT